CAGCCGTCGTTGCTCACATCCGTAAAAGCGAGTTGTTGACGTTCTGCTGGCTATATAATAGAATAAGATGAGAAAGCAAAACAGATGCACTCCACATCACCAATAATCATCACTTCTTCGATACCTTCGGCAAGTGTATCAGAACCACGCTGGGCTTTGATTTATTGTTAGGGACGAATTCCACCGTGTTGTCGTACGAGAAGTAGAACCACTGTGCAGGGACGTTAACGAACTGCTTCGTCTTGTAGAAATTGTCGAGCTGTATAAGCTCTCCACAACGTGCCTTACTCAACTTCATGGGGCCAGTGCCTGAGTTATATATTGCGGAACTCTGACCTAGCGGACTGCGCCAGTCTCTAAAAGAAATGCGCGCCAGTGAATCTTTCGCTCTGAAATAAGTGCTGACATCATGTGGCCCGATCCGGTTGTCATATAACCCTGTAGGCGTCTCCTCGTCCGATGTGAGGGAACCGTCGGGAGCCGACACTGCATAAGGGATGGCGACACAAGCGGCATCGTATTTTTTCGGATTCTCGCAGGCCGTCATTGTTAGATTGTGAACATAATCACCCTTCTTAGAGACCATCTGGACAACTTCGGCCGACCCCGGTGGCACCTTCAGATCGAAGCCAACTTCGTAGTAAGGATATATCTCAGGACCCTCACTACGTCCAAAACGTTTCAAGATGAAAGTGTTGTCCTTGATAACGGCGCTATCGTACCGAAAAGCGTAATAATGGATTCCGAAATAGTTGTAACCCACGATAGCCTCCCCAGGAGAGTCGTATTGGAAGAACATGCACCCCCTGAGCATCATTCCAGGTGTAGGACTAAACACATCTTGGTAGGCGCAGTATTTCCCAGGCTTGAGAGAGGCATCAACACCGGTGACGACACCATAACCAGCTAACACTGCCATAGTGACCAACGCGGTGGCAGCAGACAGCATTTGATTCGAGGAAAGACTCAAAAGACTGAGAGCATTTCGTATCGCGAACCTTCAAGATTGAGTGAAGATAAGACTCCGTCATCAAAGCCCTGCGTAGCATCTTCTTGAGTATTAAGCCAATCACCACTGGTGAATAGTAACCCCAAACTGACTGGTAACATCTTCCTTAGAAGATGTGCTAGTTACTATTATCAAGGGCCGGAAGAAAGGATCCCACAAGTACCCCTCATTCGGGAGTCTTTCTCATTCATCAACATCGATCAACTCTCGTAATTCACGTTAAACGCTACCAATGAACAAACTTCCGCACAGCCTTGTGCAGCATAGCCCTCCAACACTGGACAAAACAACACGAGAAGACCATCTACCAGAGAGTGTGAACAAGTAACAAGAGAGAGAGGATGTTGAAGTTCTCACTCCTGAAATTATCGTCAACCATCTTTACTTGGGTCTTACGTTCTGTGAAACGTTACTGTTGGATGATGATGCATAATAACACAAGCGTGAATCACGTTGCGTGATATGCTAAGTCCAAACATGTACTGCTATCAGTGATTTCACTTGGAGAGAGCTTATCACCAAGTGCAGCTGTTTTAAAACCGTTCGGGGAGCAGCTGCTACGCATCTGATAATTACAAGTGACTCTAGTCGCTGTTACTCTCAGCCTGTGAGGTTTTCATTCTCATCACGCATGTATTGCGCGGCGCTTATGTGAGCGGTATTTGGCGACTGACCTTGACTGACTAAAAAACGCAGCTAACTCGTTATACGGAGTATTCTCCTGGAGAAGGTCAGTGAGACGAATGTGCCGGCGCACCACGACGGTGTGGATCCTATTGACAATCAAATCAATACGATCAAGATAGGCCTGCTGCTAGAAGAGTAAGAAAATCGTCCTCAGTCCGGAAGTTTCATTCACTCATTAGTAATCAATTAACATACGATATGCTTCATCAGACACACTATTTCAAACCTCTCTAGTGAGGCTCACAGCGTAACAACGTAGCCGAAAGGCAGCTAATGATGAATATTCGCGGTCCGCGGGTCACGGGTCTAAGGATGGTTTCGTGAGGGGAAATGAAGACGGTTTTCGCGAGCTATGTGGCTCGGACGAAAACCTCAATAGGAGATTCACTTCAACCGTAGAAATGTGGACTCCGATACGAATATATTTCACAACCAAAGATCTTGAGAATCTCCAGACTGGAGACTCCAGTGAAGATGTGCTTCCGACGATGCATCGCACTATGTTAATTGAGGGTGTTGATGTAGCGTATTGCCATCTCATACGTCATTTCCCACACTGCGAACGCGACCCATATGAGCTGAGCAGAACCAATAGATATCCTGATTATTGGACAACATGCTCAATGATAGTGTAACTCATAACGATCGAGCCATATATTCAACTCGTGCCATCTACAACACGTCAACATGACGCAGCAGCACCACGTGAATTCGAACATTTCAAGACCAATCTCTGGTCACATAATTTCAGTTACAGCCATACCATTTAAAATTTACCTTTTTATTTTAGAGCCCTATACTGTAGGCAGGTCACACCTGCGTGATGTGCATAAAAGGTTTGGGCGCGCCCTCCCAGAGGGCCACACCTCTGGCGCGTTTATGCCATATGGCATGTGTTGAAGCTTCGGGCAAAGCAGGTGCCAAGCACCAAGAGCAGCAGAATCAGCAGCTTCGGACAAAGTTTATCGTGAAAGGTGAGGTTAATGGACGCGTAGCAACTTTCGTTCATCTGCTCGCTGCTCTTCTAAACGAGAGAATCGCTTCGCTCTGCCATTTTCCCCTGCTTTCACAACAGTCAGAATTCCTGCCAGCCAGATGAGACGACTTTCAGACCACGCATTCCTACAGACGACTCGCGACACGTGAGCCAAGCAGTCGAGATAGATGCACTGATTGAACGTCTTCATAAGATACCACTCCCTTTAGGGCTGGTCCATGAGCATCCTTCAAGCACACAAGGAGTAATACTGCAGCCACACACGTGCTGGACAAGAGATGGTATGAAGTACACAAAACCACAGGGATACTGCTGAGACCGTCTCCGTGCGTAATGCTTTGCCACCATCTCCAACTATTGGAGACCACATGCACGCTGATGTTAGTAGCAGTCTTGTAGCTGAATCAGCTAAGCTGATCCTGGCTCGTCGGTCCGCAGCACTTAGACCGACGCTTTATATCGTGAGGAGCATACTCCTGCACTTGCTCACCAATATCATGACCACAACCAGCTTTGTCGTTTCAGGCTCATCCGAGTTCCCTCATATTCTGATCGACTGCTTAAAAGAAACGTAGATGCTCCTAGTATACATCCACAGAGTTGAATAACTGCATCGCTACATATCTCAACACACAAAGGCGTCAACAGTGACATGACAAAACTGAAAATTCAAGTATTGATAGTAATAAAATTGATTATAAAAAATTCATCCCGAATTTCGCTGAAGAATATTAACCAACACAGAGCCACTTTTTTCCGTAAAAATCCAACCATCACTTTTGCGAAGGCTTCATTGCCAACGCTGTGCTCATTGATCATATGAAAAAAAAACTATGATATTAATATCTCCACCACCAAGTTTGTCTCCTGAGATCCCACAGTTGAAGTAAACCGTGTAAGGGGCCGACACCAGTCATAGTGATCTCAGCATCGTGTAGGCGATTCCAAGCAACACGTTGGACCTCCTCTGAACCACACCAAACGTAACGAAGTATACCATCGTAGTGTTGGAGAAACAAATAATTACTCTTTTCTGCGGAGCCCAGGCATTTTCCCACAAAATTGGAATATAAATTTCGATAAAAGTGTACAAAAATCAATGAAAATTTCCTCAGAATTTTCATATTCTCACCAACACATGTAGTCGAAATATGCAAATTTTCCCACACTGTACCCCAATCTTACGGGAATCTATTTGATCCAACCTCTCAACAAATTCCGCGGGAGAGAGTCTTCGGCCATATGCCAAAATTTGCCGACCAATATCCTCAGCAACTCCTGAAAAAACCAAAGAAAACAAATCTCGTGCGAAAAAATTTACATATCCATAAATAAATTAATACGAAAGTGACGTGATATAATGAGCAATAATTTATACAGTTTAGGAAAAAATACAACTCGAAAATACGGAAAGTTTTCCAAAAAAATAACGGAAAATTTTACCACTACGGTTATCCATAGAAAAATAAATGTGGAATTGAATAAAATTCTGTTTTGAGGAGGAAAAAATTTCCTGTGAGTGAATAGTAAAAAAATGGAAAAAATATAAATAATAAATTAATGTGGTATTGACTTGATGTAATAAACAATAATTTATATAATTTACGAAAAAATGCAACTCGAAAATTTCCAAAAAAATACCAAAAAATAATTTACCTGTAGTGTTATCCAGTCCCGAGAAGAAATTGGTCTTGAGTTCTCTCTTAGCCTTCATAACTTCCTCCTCAGTCAGCGAATACGAAAAGCTCGTCACCCCGAACATAAGGTCACCTGAAATTTAGAAAAAAATAATAATTTCCATATTGTCGTTCATATTTTTCCACACTAACTTCAATTCTCTGAGGAGATTTCCACACGAATTATGGTACAAAATTCAACGAAAATTCGCAAAGTATTTTTAACTCACCGACTGCGTGCTCAACCGCGACTTCATCCGTAGCAATATAGAATCCAAACAAGCCCGTATCCTTATATGCGATGTTAAAACCGGTATAATAATCTGATCGAAAAATTTAACCAAAATTTACCTCACATAAATTAACTCACCAAAACACCCAACGTCCATTCTAGTGGCGCCAGTCTGTGTGATGCGATTCGCTGATTGCAGACCCGGAACCAAACCTGTAGGGACAAAAATAGGGAAAAATATACGTACTAATTCGAGAAAATATAAAGAGTGGTATGATATACTCGGCGCGATAATAACGATAATAATAACGAATATATGTTCGCTATCCTCACTAGTTGTGAAAAGTTCATATATACGAATTCGAGTAGAAATGTACAGAAACCAATAAGAATTTCCCAAAATTTCCTCAAAAATTTCACATTTTCCCACACTGGAGAAAATTGTCTAAATTAGTTCACGGAGATTCCCATTTCACCACGCGTTAATCACATAGAAAAATATAAAAAAAATGACGATTTTCCATCAGAAAAATTATACAAATTTCCATAAATTCTACGAATCACAACAAAATCACAAAATTGATGAAAATTTTCACAATTTTTTTCACAAATTTCCATTTTTTTACCTTCATTTTTCTTATCATAGCTACCAATAATCGCATTCATCAACATAAACGTGATGTAGTCGGGACTTCTCCAGGGCACTCCTTCATAAGCGATCGCAATGTGAGCCGTAGGACCCATATCATCATTTCTAACAGCATGAAAAAACGTCACGCGCCACAAAATTATTTCCCTACCTATACACCAATTCCGATGCGCAAAAATATGGTTTTTCCTCCAACATACGCGGCCCTGCAGTCGGTCGAATATTTGCAAACTTTTTTTCCGCCTAAAACACCAAAAATGCCAAACATTCCACGCTTCGCTCCGCCTACTTCCTTCACAATTTGAGCGTGATCAACAGGCCCAACAGCAACAAGAACCATTCGATCAGCGGTGAAGTTATTATAGAGGTAATTCACCATATGGTCGCGCTTGATCGTCGCCACATTTTCTTCGGGACCAATGACAGTTTGCCTGAAAAAAGAACTGCGGATAAAATATGGAGTCTCACCCTAGTGACATGAAAAACATGAGTTCTGCACAGAGTATTACACCACTTCACGTAAAGCGAGTGAAACTCCATTACATGAAATATTAACGATGAAATAACAAAATTTCATCCGAAAATACAAGAAAAATCTCAATCGAAATCTCGTCGAGAAAACAAAAAAAATAATATAGTAAAAATAACCGATAAAATCACTACCCTAGCGAGCAATCTCTATAACAGGCTGTGTGGACTTTATCGTAAAGTAGTTCTTCATAAGATTGATTCACAGCTTGAAGATCTTGTGTAATACGAACCCGTTCCTGAGATTAACCAGCAGTGTTGGGGTAAAAATATATTTATTCGCTTTCCTCAGCTGAGCTCAGGAGTTTACATACAAATTTAGGTAGAAGTGATTACAGAAACTAATGAGAATTTCCTCACAAATTTCATATTGTCACCAACAACATGTGCATATTTTCAGAAACCAATGAGAATTTCCTCAGAAATTCTTCATAGTCATTAACAACATGTGCATATTTTCCCACACGGAAAACGAAACACACTTACTTTTTCAATTTCATCACCGTCTAGTTTAGGGTTGAGAATGCAGTCCGCCAAAATGTCAATACATGGCAAAATACCATCTTTAGTCGTTTTAGCATAAAATCTGAAGAAAAAAAATCACAAAAAATTCCCAGAAAACCTACGCTGTTTGTTCGCGACCAGTGTAGGAATTCAAATTAGCGCCAAGATTTTCAACCTCTGTTTCCAGCTGATCGCGCGATCTGTTCTTGGTGCCCTTGTAAAGAACTCTCTCCAAAAAATGAGCAGTTCCTGAGGAAAAAAAAATTTTTTTCCGAAAAAAAAATAATTTTACCGTTAGACTCTTTAGTTTCATATCTAGCACCGGCGTCAATCCACAAACCAACTGTCGCGGAATCCGTATAAGAAAATTGAGTGGCGACTCTCATACCATTCGGAAGTCTCGTAACCTGACATGAAATGAATCTTACCAAGGCGAACCTCAAGATACCTGGGTTGGTGACACGTTGTGCATCTCAGTGGTGACAGTGGAGCCCCAGTAGTAGCTCCTCCTCGACTGAGTCCACAAACCATAAAGAGGACGACGGCAAAGGCAGCGGGTAGCCAACATTCAATAATAATAACAACAACACCGTCACAATATCTTTATCTTGCTCTTGAACGCCTTGGTAAAAAGCGCGCGCCATTCTAATCGATTTCACAAGATTTTCTTCATAACGCGATACACACCATTACAGAAACTTCAACTCATGCAGTAGTAGCTGTCCTCTGACGTAGGAATTCCCTTATGGTTGGCTCGAGCCAATTTTGAAGGGTAAGGTCGGGGACTAGGCGTTCGAGAGTACGTAACACTGCCAAGCATCGAAGTAGATCTTCCTCAGTGAAATGCAACATCCATCTGACCAATTCTCTCGAACAAGCCAACGCTATACGACGACATCGATCATCACGTTTTAACACGGGTAAAAACGTCACAGGTTGTTGGTATAAACATTGTAAGCTCTCAATTAACGCAGTAAGAGTTGGTGGATCGCAATAACGGCAACTGTAAAGTGTATGAGAGAGAACACGATCGAGCCAAATCTCCACGACTTCGCTCGGAGGTTGCCGAATTCCGTATCTGATCTCAGCGAAATAATCACACACGCATGTTATTAATCGTTTTACTTCAGTGTGGTCACCAAATGGACCACAGGCCAGTCCACCATCGCTCTATCTGTGCAGTATGCGGTCACGAGATCGATCAACCTATCGTTACTAAGTTGAAAATGCGCCATCACAAACGCAAGGTCGGGCACGCTGTGGCTGTCCCATGCGAGACCCTCATGCTCAGTTATGGTTTCTGCCAGATTCCCCAACGCTTTCACAACAACTTCTTCAACACGTTCAGACTGAGTAAGTTGACCAGCGATAGTAGCAAGTGTGAGGCCCTTCAGCATTCGCATAATCGCCGCTGGAGGGACCAACGAGGTCGCCTCTTGCATCTCGTGGTGTTCGAAAATACTCGCTGTTTTAGTGAACAGATCTGGCCAACGATTATAGGAGTATCCATAGGAAGCCAACTCGCCCATGCCAATGAGAAGATGCGAGAGTGCTATATACGGCACCTAAAACCCAACATTCAAAATACTCCAACGGTAGAGCACCCAACTCTCCACCAAAAGGTCCCTGGTTCAAATCCCCCCTTACATATTCAAACCCATCTATGCACTGGTCAGCAATTAAATCAAATAACTCCTTATTAATCAAGCCAGCCTTCGAAGCCGCTGTAATAACGTAAACACTGGAATTATAAAAAGTGCAATTCGCCATCGCCAAGTCGTTTCCGATGCAGCCACGATATGATTCCAAAATAGTTCTCATTAACTCGTGGAATAAAGGCTCATACCTGATCCACCATTATTTATCGAATTATGATTTAGTCGAAAACACCAACATAATGTTATCCAATTTAGCCAAGGCGTTCAACAATTGAACTCTTTCTGTGACCAACATGTGCGCCGTTCTGCCCTGTAGCCGATTCAGAATCCTTCCTATAAGTTCGTCTCGTATTTTTATCAACTCCACTTGGTCAACATCACAATTCATCACCTTATTACGATTCACACAAATTGACAATGCATACCTGCGGGACACTACAGCACACAATAAATCTGCACGCATGCGCACGTACATTATCGAACCCAGGTCCTCCACCCGATCCAAGTTCCTCCTGATAAATAGCAGGAGGTCTTTCGCCAACGCGCCGTCCATAGGGCGATGTCCAGCATGAAGCCTCGCCAACGTTCGGAAGCCCTCCACGACGAGATTCACATCATCATAGGATCGCCATTGACGCTTAAACTAAACAGCAAGATCAATACAAACATAAACTCAATTCTCAACACTAGAAGAAGAATTTCCACGAGAGCAAATCTAATGTACTAAATAGCTGAAAATTTTCACCAAGAAAATGTCCTTGGCCCTGTCATCAGTGTTGGAGTAGAAATATATTTTTCGCTTTCCTCGGCTGAGCTCGGGAGTTTCCATACGAATTATGGTAGAAGTGTACAGAAACCAATGAGAATTTCCTCAGAAATTACTTATTGTCACCGACACGTGCATGTTTTCTCACTCAATTTTTAGTAACTTTTTCATCAATTTTTTTGACAAAAAATGAAAATGACAAAATAAATTTTTACCACTCGTTCCTCCCCACTTCCTACTCTAGCAGTCATCTCCTGCACTTTACCAAAATCCGCCTTTTCCCCATGAAATAAATTTGGTACCATTCTCCGCATATCTTGTAGCAATTTCGCATCTTCTAATTTAACCGGTGACAACACTGAGCGTATCCGCCGTGAATTCGGTGCACTCGAATGGTCCTGTTGCATGCGAGATGATATACTGCGAATATTGATCATCGCGACTCGACCAACTGCATATGAAGACGCTCGTGTAGATAGCATGAGAAAAAGTAACTTGCTAAAATATGCGTAAACTTTTTTTTTCCAAAATTATCATAAACTCAGGAAATTAGGAATAGTAACAAATACGTTTATAAAAGTCGAATCGTAAATTATTATTTTAAGGAATGGAAGTGTGAGAAAAAGATATGCACATGATCAACTACATGTGTTGATGAAAATATGAGAAAAATTTTGGGAAATCCTTATCGATTTTTCTGCACTTCTACCCTAGTAATTCGAGGAAAGGAAGCACTTAGCAGTTGAGAGTTGATAAAAACTAGCTGCCCGCGTCGCTTCGCTCCGGGGAATCTCTAGCTCTTACGGAGGGGGGTTATAGTGCATTTCCTGCATGGTTTTTGCACTTGGTTTGTTATGAAAGTAAAGTGTGGACTCCACAGTGTGGAGTAATAGTTGAAGGTTTCGTTTGGGTGGAAGAGTACTCACATACGATCGCCAAATGGTTGCAAATTTGCACGAACTGCGTGAGTACACAAATTGTCTAACTGCAAGAAGTGCAAGAAAACTTGATGAAATTACGCACGATGTAGAATTGGGAATGCGTTGAGAAGAGTAGAATTGTACTGTTGGGAGGCTTTTAGAATTATTAAATATAAATCAACTCATAAGAGGGACACTTGCTGAGAGTATAAGAGCAAGTAATGAGAATTTGTGGAAGAAATTTGAAAATGTGAGATTTTGACGCACGATTATAGCCGAGTAGCATAAAAGTATTAATAAAATGATCTGAAAAAAGGCGGAGCGAAGTTTTGTCAAACAGCGGAGCGAAACGATTCAGGAGTACATTTTTTGTCAATTCAGTGCCGCTACTACTAAGCTTCTACATCAGTTACATTACTGTTCTTTTACTTCCTCTTTGAAGACAATGACCAAGTTGGTCGTAGTCGTTCTACCTCTTATCTGCTCGTTACTTGTTATATTCCAAGGATGTGCGTCAACTCGGTCCAACTTCGTACCGGTTACTCCTGACACTTCCTCTCCAAATCATATTACCACTACGGCAAGTCCATGGAGTGCTACTCCTGGTGAGACTACGACTACATCGCCGGGCTCTCCTAGTGATGATACCAGCAGTAGTAGTCCGACTACACGGACGACTCCGACGACTGACAGTAGGACCTATTCTGTATCTTATTATCGTGAACCTAAGATCCTCTTAGATACGCCCTATACGTGTGATTCTGCGACGGCCGCTATTGTCGGCACTTACCGAGGCTCCTTCGACGGTAGCAGCACCCAAGGGGTTTCCCTTCAATTTGCCCAGTTCAAGAAAATCGGCGTCATGGCTGGTAAGTCCTCTATTAGAAATCTTGTTCTTTTCCTGCTGTAAATTTTCCATCATTTTTTTCGTATTAGCGAGGTGAGTTCAACAGAGTGGAGCGGCTATATCACTCTTATATATGTGGGAACACAACCAACTTAACAAGGTGCAATACTAGTGCCACGAATTTCGCATCCACATTAGACAGGAGGAATAATTCCGCCGAAGTTACTCTGACGAAATTTTTTGGAGGAAAGACGCAGTACATCCAAGGAGCATTGCCTATGGCCCATAGGACAATACTCATTCACAGGGACAAGCTACACGTCAGATGTGCTTCTAACAATATAGTTCATCGAAACTAGAGTACCGCCTTGATAACAACGATTTCCACACTTCTTCGATATTGGAGTTGTTGATTTCGTCGCCGGTACAGCCGTATCTTTATTGGTGAGCTGTATCTTAAGGTGACATATGGCATAGCTGCCCCATTAGAAATATTGATTCTGGGTGGCATAGTTGCCTCACTGGGGATATTTCTTGTGGGTGGCATAGCTGCCCCATCACTTGAGACTCACCCCGCTTGGGCACATCATGTGATGGTGGCATAGCGGCCCCATCACTTGAGACTCACCCCCCTTTGGCACATCATGTGATGGTGGCATAGCTGCCCCACCCCCCTTTGGCACATCATGTGATGGTGGCATAGCTGCCCCACCCCCCTTGGGCACATCATGTGATGGTGGCATAGCTGCCCCACCCCCCTTTGGCACATCATGTGATGGTGGCATAGCGGCCCC